ACTGGCATAATCAACTAGAGTGTATGAAGTTGGAGCAGCGCACATTTTGAAAATTATAATTTTTAATGTTGCTCAACTGCGCGCTATCACGTCGATATTTTATTATCCGCGTTTATCTCGCCTAACCACTTGTTTGGACAACCAGAGCTTGTAAAATCCAATCTTCTGTCCCCGATGTCTTCGAATGAGATCCACATTTAAGGCCAGGTTCTCATTCTCAACGATGAAAAAATTGGTTTTTTTGCTTAAATTTCATCCTTATGGTGTCAAGAATACATGGCCAAAAGGATATTTTCATATCGAAAGTATTTTACGAGTTAGGCTGGATTCACATGGAGCGTAACTTGCGTAAGCGTAACCTGCGTATCACCAATCACGGAACTATTTCAACGGAATTATTGAAACGGTTCTATCAGAATGACCGTGTGACTGGTGATACGCAGGTTACGCTACGCAAGTTACGCTCCACGTGAATCCAGCCTTACAGCTCGTTCGAAGGGACAGTCTGTTGAACGAAAAACAGGTAATACACGCGCGCTCGGAGCGGCTTTGTGGGGAGACCTTTGTCTATACCTGGCTGTTAAATCTACAATAGGTAGCAAATTTATGGCCCTCCCAACGAATCCCGACACTTTCGAATCTATTGTAACTCGTATACCTGCGTATTCTCAGTCGTGCGATCGTTCTTCTCGAAGCAACGTGTTCTTGCGTGCGTCGATCGTGGCAAAAATAAAAGTGTCGGGAAAATGCCGAATACACGGAAATCATTGGGAAATAGACGCCCAAATCGCCCAGTAAAGAAGAAACTCACTTACAATGCCGAAAAAATGGAGAGCGAGCAAGATTTTGTAAGCACTTCAGCCAATAAAATGAAGGACAAAAGTTACGATGATATCGAAATCGATATTGGCCGTAATAATGTTATTCTCGACTTTCTAAGTGTTTTTACATTTTTATCACAGTGCCTAAAATGTAAAGAATGTGACGGTGATATAACATTTACTCGCATGTGTGAACGCGGACTTGGTTTTAAATTAGTTATAAAGTGTATGTGCAAGAAAGAACGTAGCGTATCTTCGAGTCCGGTAGTGAATACTGCCTACGAAATAAATCGCAGATTGATGTTTGTGATGCGCATGTTGGGACTTGGACTTCATTCCATAAATTTTTTCCGTTCGCTTATGGAATTATGTGCCGGCTTTTCAAACAACGCGTATTACCCATTTTTCGACAATCTATTGAACGCAACGAAGGCCACTTTTGAGATAATTCAACGTAAAGCGGTTGCCGAAGAAAAGAAGAAAAACGCGGAGGCAGGAAATGAAGAAACGCATTTGAGTGTATCTGGCGACGGATCGTGGAAAACACGAGGTTTTTCATCATTATTCGGTGTCGCAACGTTAATTGGAAAGTACACTCATAAAGTTGTAGATTTTATCGTCAAATCGTCTTTCTGTCAAAGCTGCAGTAATTGGGCATCAAAAAAAGGAACTGCGGAATATGATGATTGGTATGAAACCCACATAGAAACCTGCAGCATAAATCATACCGGAAGTGCTGGTGCAATGGAAGTCGAATCCATGAAGGAAATGTTTACTCGCTCACATTTGCTTGGCGTAAAATATGCCATATACATCGGCGACGGAGACACTAAAACTTTCAAAGCTCTCCTTCAATGCAATCCGTACGACGACCTTGAGCTTGAAAAGAAAGAATGCGTAGGTCATGTGCAAAAGCGAATAGGTAAACGACTACGCGAAGAAAAATCATAAAGGAATTGGAGGCAGAGGTGCAGGGAAGTTGACCGACAAAGTTATCAAAGACCTGACTTTGTATTATGGCCTTGCGATAAGAAGACACCCAGATTCGGCCGAAGAAATGAAAAAGGCTGTGTGGGCCACATTTTACCACAAATGTTCCACAGACGAAGAGCCAAGACATGAATACTGCCAACCAGGGCAAAAGACCTGGTGCAAGTGGTGCATCGCAGAAGCAGAGGGTCGAATCGCCAGTTTCCACCACGAACCTGCCCTTTCCGAGACCGTTCAAGAAGTCGTTCATCTGATATACGAGGCTCTTTCCACCGATGACTTGTTACAACGATGCACCGGTGGAAACACTCAGAACGATAACGAGTGTTTTAACTCTTGCGTGTGGAAACTGGCCCCCAAACATCTTCATTGTGGCGTTAAAACTATTGAAATATCGGCATACATAGCTGCAGGTATTTTCAACGAAGGCTTCTCATCTGTTCTGAAGACGATGAATACGCTGGGAATTGCCGTCGGGATCAATAGCCGAAATTTCGCTGAGAACACTGACAGCAAGCGTATCGCGGCAGCGGAGAAGAGCATGTCAGAATTCGCAAAAAAGGCCAGGATTGAGAAACTTTCCGCCCAAGTCCAGCAAAATCGCATGTTTGAGGAAGAGGAAGGCATCGTGTATGCTGGAATAGCTGACTGAATGTAAGTTGTCAAAAACAAACATTAAATACGATTTTTTAGTACGTAAAACTTTAAACGCGTTTTTCTCGAAACAGCATTTTTGTCGCGCGGGGCGCTCTACAGCTTGAACGAATGAACCGATTTGAATGACTCAAAGTTCAAAAGAAAGTAAATTAAATTTAGGGGGCCTTCACGGAGCGTTTTTTTCAAAAAATTGATTGCGAATAATTTTTTACGGACGTTGAAGACAAAAAAATAGGGTAAAAACAGGGTTTTTTTCAAATAGCCGCCATTTTGTTTTAAGGACCTTTTTTTAAAAATCTGAAACCGATAAGGCCCCCCAAATTTCATCTATTTTAAGAATTTTTTTTGTTTTTGGTTTCAGATCAACTGACAAGGCTGAGGAACGCCCCGCGCACGCACACCTCTGCTGTATGCGGGGCTTCATTCATTGGGACCTGGAGCCGCCATTAAAAAAAAAATTTTTTTTAAATAATTCAGAAGTACTCTACATTTATGTGTGAATAAAAGCCGCAAAAAGTTTTTCCGAAATTCATTTATTTTCTATCAAAAAAACAATTCCTGAAATTGAGGCATTTTTGGGGCCTGAGAATGAGCCTTAATCTTCTGCAGAGAGTCTGCACGACGTTGATGCGTGTCTTCCGTATGCGTAATATACATCTCTGAGATATCTGATTATCCATATGGAGAACCGTCCAATTGACGTCTGACCTACAATCTCGTAATTCACTCAGCGCGTTTACGGCTCGATTTAATCCCTAACCGATGATGTGGAAGAAGTCGATACAACTGGCGATAAAAGATCTCTCGGGTTCTATGTCTCTCGTTGCACTCTTCTCTCGAATAGTCTTTTGGGAGATGTAACGTCAATTACTTTTGATTAATTTAACAGCACAAAAACTAGAAAATATTACGTTGAAATTGATATTAATGTGAACTCGACCGTCGTAAGCCTTTCTAATATTATGTGATTCATTGAAATTAATATCTTTAATCATTTATCTATTTCACGGAGACAAAATAAAATGTCAAGTTCAAGTTTTATAAAGTCAGAGAAATCCCTTGTTAAGTTTTACTCGCGTAAATTCAAGCAACATTTAATTCAAACAACATCTACAGAACGAGATTGTCTTAGTTTCTCTATTTCCTTCCAAAGTGTCTATCAATGTAAGAATAATCTTCTGGAGAAGTTGAAAAATATTATTCAGTTCAAAGAGTTACGCGCGGTGAAAATGATTTCACGGGAAAATTGTCTCGCCCGGGGAGATATTCCCTTCAAGACGGTTAGTCATTCGAGGGAAGGTGGAGAAAGAAAAAGGGCAGGCAGCATGAATCGTCGAATAAAGAACGAATAAAAGATTGCCAGCTGACTCGCGTCTGTCGCTGAAATCACCACCTCGCCGCCGAAGAAATTATTGGCCACGCGGCCGATAAAATTGAGCCGCTCTTCCCCCCTTGCTTCTTTCACGCTCGAGCGCGTCGATCCACGGCGAGACCGGATATCGATCCTTGATTCTTGTTCCGGGCATCTTTCGGTGACTTCTGTACAAGTGGCGAGTCTTAAAGACGAGTATTACTGTACTCGAGTTTACGTACTGAACTACAGACGAGAAAATCTGTGTATTCAATAACTGTTGGAGGAGTTTCGATTTACTTCACTTTCGATGTTTAGGAACAGAGCTATTGCAATATTTGATCTCGAAATACAAATTTATCTTTTACGTACAGCAGACTTTGAAGCAGCGTACCTTTGATAAGCACAGATCTTGCCATAGAGAACGCGCAGAAATCTTTTTCCCGATACTATAAATCCGACAGCCGGTATTGTGTATCTATTGTTTTCAAAATATAAACTCGCTCTAAAATTAACAATGACAAGTAATATTCGACCGTTTATGTGAACAACACGATAGTAGTCTTTTAGTGTCTAAAGGATGCGTAATTAACATCGTTATTAAGCTGATTGTCAATTTAATTAAGTATGCCATTTCGATTGTAGCTTAGGGCTGCGCTTTAAGACTGAAAATTTCATTCGGCGCGAAGTTTGCGTGGAGAAAAACAAGTATACGCGATCAGAATTAGTCACTAAAAATTATATCTTCACCTTTTACTCGAAGCAAGTAAACTCAATGCAGATTTAATTGTAATAATTTTCTAGCGTTTCAATTATTAGGGGAAATCCAAACGGTTTTTGTAAAAAAAATGGATAAATTCTATCCCAAATCGCGTCCTCGTGAGAACTTTGAGACTCTCCTATATCGCGACAGCGACCTTTCTTAAGTGAGATGTACTTCGCCTCGTATCATCGTCTAAGCATCGATACTAGGTCACCGCGGCACGGTTCGATGAACGCGATGCTCACATAAGGCCAGTTTCTTAAGCTCTTGTGAAGAGCGTCTAAGCAGGCGTATTGAATACCGATGAGTCCTTCGGCATTGTCAAGCAACGTTCCAGTTCCGCTTACGCATTTCTCAGCCGTATACGACGGGGGGAAAAAAGAGAGAGAGGAAGAAAGGAGATGAGAAACACACTTCACGTGCCATACGTCTTACGCAGGCGATCCGTTCGGCCAATAAATGAATCGTTCGATCCAGGAGAAATCGATAATTTACGAACCCGTTTCAGGTATAATTTTCACATTTGTAATTTACGTCTCAAAGTGTACGTTTTGTGTACCTGGTACGCCTCCTTTTATAACCGTACTGCAAAATTACTTAATTTATTTTCTCCAAGTAGCGCAGCGTAGCTGCAGAGGATGATGCTTGGGATGTTCAAAGGAGGAGCGGGTGCGTAATTTGCGAAATAACGTGGTTCAAAACAGGAGCAAAAACCAATTCATAACTGAGAAGTTTCTGAATAAAAGATCTCCGCCGAGGCAGAGGAGACGCACGGGCTCATGAATTGTGAACTTGAGAACGTCGTACCGACAAGCCGGAGCTAACTTAAGTAAATTCGCCTTTTCTCGGGCCGTATTAAAGATACAGCGGTAATCTAAGGTGGGACAGACGCGGATTGTTTAGGCCCGGCTTGCCTCATTCAAACTGTGCCGGCGCAAACCGAACCTCCATTCTGCTCTTAATCCGAAATGCACCGCGGATACCGCGCCCGCAGGAACTGCGCGCGCTGTGTTTCAATGCTACGTCATTAACAGTTGGAAAGTGGTCCCATCGCTCTGCGCCTCTTTGTTCGCCGTCAGTGATTAAACTTCGTCCCGGTGCCACTTTTACGCGGCGTTGTCGCGTTACGCTCTCGCTCTCGATTGTCGCGTGCGAGCGCCGGAGCGCTCGCGAAATTCGACGGCTCACGCCCGGTCGATTACAATCGCGAATATTCGCGCGAGAGGACCGAGTTGTGTTCTGGAATCGTGAATTCACAAGACACGCGACTATACACTGAGGGGAAAAAAGTTATTGAAATGACTGAATACGTTTGGTTAGGCAGTATTTCTTCGATTCAAATATTATATGATTTTAAGTTAAACGTACAGTGATTCATTGACGAATAATTTTACGAATTGATAAGTATTTGCTTGGCAGCCCGTGATCGCCGCATATAGTTGAATTAAGAAATATTTCTTCAACACTTTTTTTTCTCAGTGTACGATTCTTTATGCCTCATTGCCGCCGAGGGGTAAACCGCTGACCAAAATCATGCACGCCAATGCCTACTAATGCCCAGTGGGCATTGCTTTAGCTTATTTTCTTATTTAATGTTATTTTATCTTCTTTTATCTTTTTAGATAATGTCCCAGCAAGGCAAAATAACACCCATCAATGCCCAAAAAATGCCAACTCTGACAGAAAAAAACATGGTTGCAGTTACCACAATCTCCATTTTATGAGAAAATGACTTTCTAAGGGCCGGTTTTTCCAACCTCTTGGTAAATTAACTGACAGTTAAATCACACGTATGGCTTTGTTTTTCCTTCAAATTAGGCAAAGATAAGCATTTAATTTAACTGTCGGTTATTCGGTGGCCGAAACAACCGGCCCTCACTCTAACAACACGAGCGCAAACTTACGTGCTTGAGGAAATTTTAGTTTCGATCGTGTATTCATTTCTCATGCACGATTTAAGAACTCCCGAAACGATACGCTGAATTGCTCCCGTGTGAAAGAAGAAAGGTAATACAAGAGGGGGCTCATTAAAACCGCGCAATTAATACTTTAAACCGATACGAGGAAATCAAGATCATGTACGATATCAATCCCCGAGGGCGCGTAACAGCAATTTGATAGCGTCCCACTCCTGCCCCACCCCCAGGACGGAGCCTGTGATCATTTCGCGTCCAATTATTTCGCGGAGGCAACGCGCGCCGCGCCTCGTTACGGGCTAAAATCGGGGAAACAACGAATAAGTGGCGCGGCGAGAGAGAGAGAGAGAGAGAGAGAGAGAGAGAGAGAGAGAGAGAGAGAGAGAGAGAGAGAGAGAGGAGGGGGGA